TGTGTGTGTGTGTGTGTGTGTGTGTGTGTGTGTGTGTGTGTGTGTGTGTGTGTGTGTGTGTGTGTGTGTGTGGTACTTTTTGAATCAAAACAAAAACCTAATTTAGAAGTTTATAAATTAAGATCTTTGTAGAAAAGTTTAACAAGAATGTATAAAGATAAATGTCAATAAAGTCTACAATACAGGAAATCATTTTTAATTGTTTCTTTAAAAAAAAAGACATATGACAAAAATTTTCAAATCTGCTAATTCATACAAGTATCACATATAAAAGATATTTTATTTACAGAAGCTATATAATCTATAGAAAATTTATTTGAAGTTTCAAACTATTTTATCCAGTATTTTTCTATGCAATGCAATAAAACTAACCATACAACCAGTGCATCAAATCACTGCACCCAGGCATGATAGTTAAGTAATTTTTTACTTGCAGAATAACCAATCACAATTGTGTTCTTAGACAGTTTATGAGAATGTTTAATGGTCATATAACACAACCTTTTAGCTGATACGACTAAACACACAGACTCTCACAATTAAAATATCCAAAACACAAACAAGTTTAGAGTAAATAACACAAAATCTGACATTTTTAGTACAATGAAAGATAAAATCTTTATTATTGGTAATGACTGACTAGTTTCTGTAACACAGTCACCATCATCAAGGTTAGTGTTACCGAAAATTGTCATCTATAGCCAACAATATAGATTTTACCTTTCATTGCACCAAAAAACATTGGATATTATTGGTTTTTTACCTTAATATATAATTACAATATGCCTGAAAATAAATTCTAAAAAACTGGTGCTCTTGTTTACATTGATAGAAGCATAAGATCTCTCTAAAAGACCAATCAATTGAACAATCCAACAGAAATATCCATAACAAAAACTATTACAACTGAAATAATGATAACAAATTGGTAGTTTCATAGATTGTCTAAAATAAACTCAAAATTAATATACCTGTTAATAAACATTCATGTAGTGTCTACATAACCATGTAAAAATGAAGAACAAATTCCTCAAAAATATTAAAGAAAAAAAAAGCCAAATATTTCAGAATAGAGATCTGTAGTGTTTGGATGTTCCTTTTCAGGTTTCATATATATATACATATAAATGCATTAATCTCTCACTGCTCACTTGCATGAATTCATTACAACATGTGGTTAATTTTTTTAAATCAATATAACCATTTACAACAAATAGGCTTCACATTAACTTCTAAATTAACGTATTGCCACACTAGTCATCATACATAACTGATACACTGAACACCTAAAAAACATGATTTTCATAAAGTTTATCTCTACAAGTATGATAACAGCAGTCAGATAAAGAATAAATACTGATCACTTGTTACTCTTATTTTTTGTTGTTGCCTGAAGAAGTTTGTGTAATATAAAAAGAAAATGAAAACTTGCTATTACAAAATGTTAAAAAAAGTGTAACCAACATATTTTACCACATATAAGTTCACTCTGAAACACAAGGTGAAAGTATTTTCAAACTAAATTTATTACAAACATTTTTTATTTTGTGAAAAAGCTACATGAGGGTTATCTGAGCTAAACACCCCTAATTTTGAAATGATATAAAAAAGGAAAGGCAGTTAGTTGGTCAACATCACCCACTGCCAACTCTTGTGATATTCTTTACCATTGAATAGTGGGGATTGAATTCAGTTATAGCACTGCTACAGTTGAAAGGGCAAAGGGTTAAGCATGTTCAGTGATGGGTTTCAATCCTATAACCAATAGGTTACAATCTAAGCATCTAACCACCAAGCCATGCCAGCCATATAAAAATGTATATTCCATTCTTTGAAACTAAGTACAAAAGTAATTTAATCAAAAATACCATGAAACCATCATAATTTGAGTAACTTTGGAAAACGGCACCCATTTAATCTTTAAGAATGGTTATCAGATTGGATATTTCCTTAACACCTTCAATTATATGATAGTCTGTTATTTACTTGAATAGTTCAAACACATTGAAACTTAAGTTATATTTGCATTCATTACTACATTATGGGTTAGATATTTGATATGAATCGGTACATATGTCATCAGCAGAGATACAAAGAATCTGTCACCAGACTGAAAATTGTTCTGTTTAAATAACACTTAATGATTACAAACATTTTCTCTCACTTTAACATCTTTTAATTCTTGGGACAGGTAATTTTTTACCAACATTCAAGATCAGAATTATCATATAAATCATGACTACAAAATTATCTGAAGTAGAAAATCTATTCATGCATAAAAACATTGTTTTTCTTGTTCAAATAGATTGATACTATTATTCTGTAGTAACACCTGTATCATTACTATAATTTTAACAGAAAGATAACACTGTTTAACATTTATAGAGGGACAATCAGTCCAGCAGCTTTATACCAACATATATTTTAAAAGATTTTGATGAAAACATCACCAAGATGTGTGCCAAATGAATATATCCAGTTATCAGCAGTCCAGAACAGAACCTACTTTGGTTTTCATTTATGAAAGAGTAAAATAACTTACTTAACATCATGAGGTTCAGTTTTATCATGATGCTTTTCAGTGGATGTGGAAACACTATCAGCATCTGGCACACTTACAGCTTCTCTCGTAGACACTACAGGACTTTGTTCAACTTCTTGATGAATAGCGTTTTGTGACACTAGGAACCTGTGAAATATATACTTAAGATTACCTAAAAACCTAGATACCTGTTCGTCTTACCTGCTTTTCATCTTGCTACCAACAATATCACAAAAAATTAATAAATAACCTATATATATATCTTCTGGCAACCAATCACTTCAGACACTAATCTGAAGAGAAGAAGCTGCACATAAAATAGTTACAAGTTAGAAAAACAAATGATAACACTAGAAAAATGTTAATCTAGGTTATTTACTGAATGACATTTTGAGCCTAAGCATTACATCAGGTGATATTTAAACAGTCACTATTTCGTTAGTGACTGTAAATATCACCCGATCAATAAATCACCTTCTAGATTAACAACTTTCTAGTGTTACATCCCTGGTAGCCAGTCAGCAGCATCTTATCATCCATGCTATGGGATAGAATATCATTCTTATAATGTACCCACAACTTAAAATGCAGAGAATATCCTGTGGCATTAAAAAAAATCAAAGTCCAGTTTGCTAGCTCCAAAATAAAAAGCTCTACCATAGAGCTAACCTACACTAAAGGACTAACTGTCATTCTTATAATGCATCCAAAGATTAAAGTAACAAAATTATTTTGTGGTATAGTAGAGAGCTCTACCATATGGCCAGTCTGAACTAAGGGATTAACTGTTATTAATGTAATGTACTCAAAGCTTAAAGTACAGAGATTATTTTGTAGCATTATGTAGAGCTGTATCATAAGACCAATCAACACCTCAAAAAGCCATGCAAAACTATTTTTCTATTATGATCAAGATTATTAGCATATATTAGACTATAGAATCCATTCATACACTGACTGCAAGTCCTCGAAACATCTTACAACTTATCACCTTCTTACTGTGGGTAGGTCAAAATGTATATGTAATGACCTTTTATATAGTTACATTCAAAGTTTAATAAAACTACTTTAATATTGATATATACAAATAAACTTGGCATCAAAACATAGTAAATAAATAACATTTTAATATTATATAAGTTTTAAGTTCTTAATTTTATAAGGAAATATTTAAAAAATCCCCAATCTTCTCTAGTATGAGAATTGCGAAATTTGTTATTTGGGTCTCCCTTCTTCTCAAATTTATTTACCACCCCTCTAAGAAGTACTTAATTCAGTGTAACTTACTCAGTTTGAAAGGTTTATCTTGTGATATTCAGATTGAGCAGTAAAGGAAATTAATTTAAGAAAGCCAGAACATTGTTTGTTTGTGCATATTCCTATTCCGTGTTCTTAGGTGCATTATTTAAGTAAATAAAAAATATTTAGTGTACTAATACCACTATTACATATAAAAAAGTAAGCTAGTTTTATCAGCAACTGACAGAAGAAGAAGAAAAAAGGTAAGTACTATACTTTTTGTTTTTCATCCACAATCTTTATTATGGTTGTAAAAGTAACAAAAATTAGAAACATTAGATAAGGTTAGAATACGTGAGATAATGAATAACAATAATAAAAATACTACATGAGGTATGCTTGCGAGCAGCTTAAATGTTAAATCGTTCAATATGGTAATATAAGTTAAGTGTTTGCTGAGTGATTTACAACTTGTGTGGAGGAATTATTAGTTCACGGTTCAAAGAGCAATAAAACAATCAAATTAAGTATAAACAATTGTAGTTTTCTGTTACAACTTGCAGTCATTTTAGAAAGAAAAAAAAGGTAATTTATATATATTTTGTATCGTTTTAAGGTGGTTACAAGGTCTGTCAAATTCACCGAGTCTGTACAGTTAATGTGGAGAATATAACTCATAAAATATAGTTTTCCTTAAAAAACTTTTGATATATATTTAGGACACTGTAGAGATTAAGCGTATGAAATTTGAAAATTTTCAGATCAAGAAAAGTATTTTAAATCTTAACATAAAAAAATCACTTTGTAGTTGGAGCAGTCAACATCCTGACTCCATATATTCATGGACAAATCTTTAGTAAAATTACTTTAAAATCAGATATTTTGTGTACAAAATATTTGTAATATTTACTGAAAACTTGCCAAATACACAAAGCATATTAAAGTAATAGCATGGGAAACTCTGATGGTTAAAAAGTTGGTCATACTGACCAACATCAGATGGAATTATTGAGTATTTACAATTATTTAGTTTTTATTAAAGTTTCTTTTAAACCATCTAGTCTGTGTGTACAATTTGATTCCCACATATACTGTTAGCAAAATTAAATTAAAAATTTAGTAGACAAACCCTTATGCTTTTTTGCTGATACATTAAACTTAATTGATCTGCAACAAGGTTTTATAGCAAAATGCAAGGGGTCCCCCTACCAGAAGCACTATCAACAAATTTCAAAAACAAAAATTCTGGAATTTCACGTAACAGGTTTTGCTTAAGAGCATTGGCATTTTCTACTCAATGGCACGTTATATGATACATGGACTAAACAGACAGCCAAAATCCCCTAAAGTTCAGGTGTATACATCCCTAATATCGTACTGCTTACCATACGAATGGCAACCAGTCAGCAGTTCCTGTTGCCCTTGCAACTACTCTTAACCAAATAGTGGAATTGATTGTCACAGTTTTATATAATGCCTTCACAACTAAAGTACACGGCTTGAACCTTTAAACTTCTGATCAGCAGCCCACCATGCTAACTGTTAGCCCACATCTGGTCTTTACTCAAAGGACTTATTGTATTAAAATTTAATAAACTGTGTGAAGGAGTCAGTAATGATTAAAATCCAATAATTCAGATTACTTTGATGATGCCGTTTGAAATTTTACACTAAAAGATACATTTACTTTAGATAATGTGCATAATCATAAAAATTATATCAGCTATTCACTATTAACACTTTCTCTACAAGCATCTTTTTTCTGCATGTCACAAGGTTTTAGTGACTTACGTTCAAAATTTAAATAAACTACTTTCTTTTCATGGTATACGAAGTAATTTGGCATAAAAACATAGCTAATAATTCAAATTTTAATAGTATATTATTTGTTTTGCGTCCTTAATTTTAAATGGCAATATTTTTAAAAAAATCCCGCCAGTATGAGAAGTGTGACATTTTCTCTCTAGGCATCTCCCCTTCTCAAATTTATTTACCACCCCTACAAGAAGTACAAAACTTAATGTAAATTATTTATAATGTTGTCATTGCTCAAATATCATAATCTCTATAGCCTTCAATCTTATTTTATTACTGAGCCACCAAATAGAAAATCAGACCCCTTCTTGCCTCGCCCACTTGTCACATCCTCTTTTTCAGAAATTATTAGAAGTTCTCTCTGACATTTAATACTGTATTATTTATAACCAACAGAAAGCCAAGGTTTTAATCTATCAAATGGTGTATTATATTACATTGTTTTCTGTACAGAGAATTCTCAATCATGCTTTCAGTTCAAACTTTATTCCCACGAGAAACACATCAACACGTTTGCTGAATTTTTCACGGCTCTTGTCACATAGTTAGAAAGCCAGAAAAATTGTGATAGTTATGGGACATTGTCTACTTTATGGATGTGGTTATTTTGTGTTCTTTGGTGCATTATGTAATTAAATAAAAAACTCAGCTCAGTAGTAACATTAGTATAAAAAAAGTAGGATTAAGTGTCATCAACAGTCAATGGCATAAAAAAAAAGACGACCAAGGTAAGTAGTTTATTTCTTATTTTTCATGTGTTTTCTTTATTTATTATTATAAAAGGTAACTAAAATGTAAAAATTGGAAAGTTTTTATGCTAGGTAAGGTAAAATAAAAAATAATTTTTCACAAGGTACACTCAAAGGTAGTCCTTGCATTATGGAATTCGATATCGTAACGTGAGGTACACATTTGCCATATACATGGTGCAAATATTAGTTAGACACAGTTCAAAGGGCAATAAAACAATAACATTTAAATATAAATAGATGTATACTGCTAAAAGCCTAAAGCTATTTAGGATAAAAAATATAGTTTCATGTTACAATTTGAAGTCATTCTAGTAAGGAAAGTAAGAGTAATTTAGATTTGTTTATACTTTTTTTTTTGGTGCTTACAAGGTCAGTCAAATTGACCAACCTTGTATAGAGTTAAGGTAGAGAAAATAACAGATAAAATATAACATTTTACTGAAAACAAACAATCGAAATTTATTTAGGAAATTTTAGAGATCAAGCAAATGAAATTTGAGATTTTTGAGATGAAGAGAAGTATTTTTAATCTTAACATGAAAATCACTTTGCATTTAAAAAAAAGACTTCATGATAAAATCTAATATTTTGTGTACAAAATACTTGTAGTGTTTACTGAAAGTCTGCCAAATTTTGTGAAGATACACATACTGTATTAAAAATTATAGTATGGAAACTCTAGCAAATATAAAATGGTTATGAAGTCAGTCAATTCAACCAAACTCGTGGCAAGAGAGTTAAACTGCCTGCGTTAAAAACTGTCTACAATAAGGTTATACCGTGCAGAGTATTACAGGATAGATTTCAATTAAGGTTTAACAGATATGAAGAATTAAGAAACAGATTAGATTTAGCTACTAACAGATTAGCCTACTCAGAGTAGCCAGTGTAGCTGTAGTAGTAAAAGAGAAACTTTTCCGATACATCTCAGAGCAGTTTTGAATTGAAATAAATCAAGATATGATACTTTATTTGTTTTTATATATTATCAAAAGTTTTCCAAGATGCCCCTTTTTTTCTGCTAATTAATAATAATAAAAAAAAGTGATTTATTTACAAGTGACCCAAAAATATTCACAGTTATGCTGAGAAATGCTGCTTGCAATTTCACTGGTCATGCTTGGGGGTTAAATGTTTAAAAAAAATCACACCTGAAAGACTATTTCTGACTAGTTTATTTTAATTTTACTGTATTACTTACAAATGCTAAATTCATAGCATGCAAAAGCAGTATTGGAAAGTTATTTCCCAATGCTAAGAAGCTAACATGAAGTAGAATTATTTCACTTACTTTTCTTTGTCTTGAAGATCTTTGTCACATGGGCCAGGATTTGAATTGGGGGGCAATACTATAGGATAATTCTCACTTTGGTTTATGCCACTGCTGAAAGAATTGACAAGGTAATTAACATGTATTGATTCACAACAGTTTACTATGAAAAAAATAAATAAATAAAAAATAACTCAGATTATTTACATAAAAACCAAAATATTTACCTAGTAGACTCTGAGGATCCAGCTTTAGACTGAGGGCTAGATTTCTTATCTACTGTTTGAGAATTTGCCAGAACCACTACAAAAATATAAATAAATTCAATTTCAGCGTTAATGTGAAACATTAATTTTGTTTGGAGAATATTTAATAGATCTATATATTATAGACTGTCTTCCTTGTTATTACTGTATGCCAATGAACTCAAAAGTCAATGTTAAATCAATTTTTACCATATATTTTTAAATTACCTATAAACAGTTATTGAACAAAAACATACCCTACAACTAAAAATATCTTTGCTTAACATTTAACATGGTTCATAATGAATTGCTCAGATCAATTTCAAGCACTTTCTAACAAGCTGAAATCTACATCAAAATCAATCAGATTCCACTGAAATTTTATAAAATTCCCATTTATTTGTTCAACATATGAATGTAGGTTAAAAAAGAAAAGAAATACTTTATTTATTGTGCGTAACTCCGCAACATGCGTTAAAGTTAGATATATCGATATATTCTGCTATTATAATATTTTCAAGTACTTTTAAAAAAAAAGGCCCCTTTACAAGCCCTTGAAATTCAATTCTCAATTTTAAGGATTTTCAGGGATAGATATGTACCCTGATTTAAGACAATAGCCTTCTTGAGAATCATAAACACTGTTTTAATTCAAGTTCAATACTTTAGTCAGCATTTCAGATTTTAGAAAGTTATTTTAAACTAGAGATAAACATCTCCCTCCTTAGGCAGAATTCTTCTTTTTTTTTGCATTTAGTCAGCTTTACTGGGAAATTTATAATTATTTATCATCTCAAAAAACTAAATTGACGTTTCTAATTTAATATAGGTAATTTTCAAGCCTTTACAAGCTTTCTCTGAGATATTCACTCAAATTCAGCCACAAACAATGTCAAAAACTTCAAATTGTCGATCAAATACACAGAAATAATAAAAATATTTCTCTGAATATTTACTCACCAAATGGTTTACATTAATAAAAAATATGCATTCAATTAATAAATGCAGTAATAAAAGTTTTTATAAAATAAACCACTAAACAGTAACTACGCAAATATAACTTACCATACTTACTACTAGGATCATTACTTGTTTCCACTGTTTCCATTGGAGTGGATGAAGAAAAGGCTTCAGCACTATTGATGAAGTATTATTTATGTAAATAAAAACCACTTTATACTCACTTTAAAGCACAAAAAAATACAATTTCATTTACTAAAGTGTCATTGTAATAAGTTTACAACAATACTTAAGGTAACTATTCCAAGAAGTACATAGCCGTTCAGATATAAAGGAGTCTCCCTTAAATCAATTTGATTCATATACAACACTAAAACATCTCTAGCTTTGCAAGTAGCTTTTAACTGAAAACAGTCTTAATTCTAATCCTTAACACACACTTAACCAAAATTTAAAAACTGTTGAAAATTAACCAATTGGGCATGAAAACTATAACCTTAATTACAGCTCTGGTCTAAAAAAAAAAATAACAACAAAACAGATACAAATCTGCATTGGTTCTCTTATGCCAAAAGAAGTTTTTAACTTTTTTGACAAAAGACAGGAATTCAGGAGTATAGACATATTATATTTATGAAGCAATAATACGATGAATGTGGCATCACATAGGTCAAAGGGTGTATGTCATGACACCTTAGTTATTTTCAAAACTTAAAGAACTATATTATCATTGTATGTCAATAAAATTGTAATGTTTACTAAAAGCTTGAAAAATTTCATGAATATACACAATAAATATTAAAAGTTATAGAATGGAAACTCCAATGGTAATTTTGGGTGGTTGGTGCAATCCACCGTGTCAATAGCGAAAGAGTTAATGTGGTTCTTTTATGTATTTTCAATACTTGAAATAAAGGAAAGCTTTCAAATTCACTCTCTCGTTAGGGGTTAATCGAATTAGACTAATTTGTGACCTCAAATTGACCTTTATAGTTTCCATACTATAACTTCTAATACGTTTTGTGTTTCTTTATGAAATTTTGCAAGCTTTCAGTAATCATTAAGTCAAAAAAGCAGAATTTTTAAGGAAGTATTTCCACTAAACATTTCTCCATGAATATAGTGAGTCAAATTGTTGACTGTTCAGAGGGCAAAATGATTTTCATGTTAAGATTTAAAAAATGTTTCTTCATCTGAAAAATCTCAGTTTTCATTTGCATAATCTCTAAAATCTCCTAAATAAATTTCAAACGTTTTTACAGTAAAACGTTTTATTTTATCTGTAATTTTCTCTACCCAAGCACTGTATGAGGTAGGTCAATTTGACCAACCCTGTAACCACCAAAAAAAATAAAAAATAATGAAATAAATCTAAATTACCCTTATTTTCTTTCTAGAATGACTTCAAATTGTAACATGAAACTTCATTTGTTAATCCAAAATAGCTTTAAACTCTTAACAGCATACATCTGTTAAACTTAAATTGTATTGTTTTATTGCTCTTTGAACTATGTCTAACTGATATTTATGCCATAAAATTTATAAATCACTTGGCAAATGTGCAGCTCATGATATCCTATCGAATTACATAATGCATGCTACTCGCAAGCGTACCGTGTGAACATTTCTTCTTCTTTTTCATTTTACCTAATCTAACCTAACAGGTTTCTAATTTTTACATGTTACTTACTTTTATAATAATAAATAAAGAATGCACAAGAAAAACATGAAATAAAGTACATACTCAGGTCTTCTTCTTAATCCTACTTTTTTTATACTAATGGTACTGGTGCATTAAATAATTTTTTAACCCACTAAAATTACATAGAACAATCACATGTAAAAAGAAAACAATGCTCCCCGACTATCACAATTTTTTTTGCTTTCTAACTATACAACAAGAGCTTTTAAAAATTCAGCTAAGGTCATTGATGTGTTTCCTTTGGTAATAAAGTTTGAACTGGAAGTGAAATAGATAATTCTGTGTAGAGAAAATGTGATGTAATATAAAATTTTATAAATTAAAACCTTGGCTTTCTATTGGTTATAAATAATATGGTATTAAAGTTCAGAGAGAACTATTGGCAACTTCTGAAAAAGATAAAGCAACAGGTGGGTTTGGCAAGAGGGGTCTGATTTTCTATTTTATGTGTCTGTAACTAAACAATATTGAACATTATGAAAATTATGCTTTGCCTGAGTGATGCCAATATTATAATGAGCAACTTAAATTAAATTTCGCACTTCTTTGAGGGGTGGTAAATAAATTAAAGAAGGGATGCTAAATAGAGAAAATGTCACAATTTTCATACTAGTGGAAATTCAGGATTTTCTTTAAATATTGCCTAATAACATTAAGAACTTAAAACTTATATACTATTAAAATTTGGATTACTAGCTACATTTTTAAGACAAACTTATTCATACACAATGATAAGCAATTTAATTAAATTTTAAACGTAACTCATTAAAACCTTGCGACATGCAGAAAAAGATACCCAGAGCTAAAATGTTATATTAATTTCTCTTTTTCTGTATCTATTTAACCCTTTCAATATGGGTCACAGGTAAAAAGCCATGTCATGTCGTTTGTTGAGTCACATTCAAAATTTTATTGAAATATTATTTCATGAATTTATGTCAATAGGTTTGGTATCAAACTGTAGATTATAATTCAAATTTTAGAACTATATATTACTCAATTTGTTAACTTAAAAGTGGTTATTAAAAACACAGATAAACATCAATTTTGTGTGTCACATGGTATGTTGAATGCAGCACTGGTTCAAAGTAGATGCTTGTGAAGTCAAAATACTAAGTCTATAGTTTCATATGAATTAGAAACACAAATTACAGATATTGACAAGCTAGAAAATAAAATAAGAAGGTCTTATCTTTTCTTTTCTATTTGCTAAGATATTGCTCACGTAATAAATCAAACATAGTGGCACACAGCTCACCTCTTTCCATTTTTGGA